TCCTACCCAACAAGCGCTACCGTATCTTCGGTGAGACCATTGATATCGCCGTCGGAAATTGTTTGGATCGATTTGCTCGAGTTTTGAAGCTTCCAAATGCTCCATCGCCTGGATATAATATTGAGCAACTGGCAAAATCTGGAGCTAAGCTCTTCGAGCTACCATATACCGTCAAGGCAAGTTTAAAAAATTCCTGAAAATCTGAAATTTTTAGGCCTAAAATGGCCAAATAAAATTTTTCAAAATTTCCAGGGAATGGACGTCTCCTTATCGGGAATCCTGTCTTGCATCGAATCCCGCGCTCCACAACTCCTAGAATCTAGAGAATACACACCGGCGGACCTGTGCTTCTCCCTCCAGGAGACAGTTTTCGCTATGCTCATCGAGATCACTGAAAGAGCGATGGCACACACTGGAAGTCGTGAATTGCTCATCGTTGGAGGTGTTGGATGCAATTTGCGGTTGCAGGTGTGGAAAAATGAACAAAAACTAGACTAGAATCGATTTTAAATAATTAATTTTGAGCAAAAATGACGGATTTTAGAATAGAAATGCATTTTCGGTCTGCTAATTTCAATTTTGTAGTTTGTAGTCTAGCAGACCCAACTGGGTCTGCTATCTCGGGAATCGTTAATTCTGGCAGACTACAAACTACATCTGCGGAGCTAGCATACCAACAAGGGAATCCTGCCAAGCTCGATTTCTTGAGAATTGTAGTTTGTAGTCTAGCAGACCAATTTTCATTTTTCACCACCATTTTGTCATTTTTTTCCACTTCTAAGAAAGGAAAAACCAGGAGTCTGACGTCTTCATTCGAAAAATTGAGCAAAAATAAGCCTACAATCGAGAAAAATGCTCAAAAAACGCTCTAAAAAATGTTGGCTCTGCTAATTCCAATTTTATAGTTTGTAGTCTAGATCCTAGGCTCCACGGAAACTTGTCTGATATGCCAGACTACAAACTACATTTTCGGAGCTAGCATACCAACTAGGGAATCCTACCAAGCTCGATTTCTTGAAAAATGTAGTTTGTAGTCTAGCAGACCCAATTTTCATTTTCACTCATTTTCAACCATTTTTCATCATTTTAGGCTCATTTTTTCTCTAATTTTCAAATTTTTTTGCCAAAAAAACCAGCATTGTACGTCTTCATTATTCTTGCTATTTTAGGATAAATTTCATGATTTTTATCTAATTTTTTTTCTAATTTTCACTACTAATCAAGAAAAAACTAGAAATCTGACGTCTTCATTACAGGAAATGGCATCAGCGATGTGTGCCGAACGCTCCGCCCATCTTTTCGCCACCGACGAGCGTTTCTGCATCGATAACGGAGCGATGATTGCGAGAGCGGGCGAACTGATGCTTGGTCAGTTGTTGTTATCAGTGTTTTACGAATTTTATTGACAAAATTAACAAAAATTTCTGAAAGTTTTGATTGTTTTGAGCGATTTTGAAATTTGGGTCTGCTAAATCCGAAATTGTAGTTTGTAATCTAGCAGGCCAAAATTCAGTATTTAGACATTTTAGGCCAAATTTTCTCATTTTTCCAGCTGCCGGAATGAAATTCGACCTTCGAAAAACGACAATCACCCAACGATACCGTACCGATCAGGTGCACGTTGAGTGGAGAGACTAGAATATCGATTTTTTGATTTTTTCTTTTCTGAATTTGTTTTGTTAGTTGATCTCCTAATTATTGGCTCCTCCCCTTTTTTTTGTTAATTTTTATATTGTTTTTTGTTCAATTTTCACGGCTTTTCCACATTTCTCAATTTTCCCCCGTCATCTGATTCCACATTTTTTGATATTCTTCTCTTTTAAAAAAACACGAGCAGCAGCAGAAATGGGTGTCGAATGTGCAGAAGTAAGTGATTTTTATGGAAAACTAACCGAAAATTTGAATTTTTCAAGGTTTTCTAGCCTAGAAAATGTTTTTTTTCTAGCGAAAAACGACTCTTTTTGAGACATGGGTCTGCTAATTCAGGTTTTGTAGTTTGTAGCCTAGCAGGCCCAAATCCATTTCTTCTCATTTTACCTCAAAATTTTCGCTTTTTTTCAGGAATTTGTGGATTTGAGCCACAAATTTGAAAACTTTCAACGTTTTTTTAGACTAGAAATCGTTTTTTTAGTAAAAATTCGTCTGAAAAAACTCATTTTTTTCAATCTGTCCGAATTTTCTTAAAATTTTTCGTTTTTTTCAGGAATTCGTGAAATTAAGCGGCTGGATAGTGCTTCTAAGCATCGTACCAATCGTGTTCAGCGCCATAACCATCATTCTTCTCTGCTCGTCGCTTCTAAAAGTCAAAAAGATGATTGCAATCTGTGACGGCATCTCGGCCAGTGCTCATTGGCTCTCACGGACCGCCGTCCGCGCCGGTATCGGAGAGACCGCCCGTGTGACGATTCAAGAATACGCCGGAAACAAGCCTGAACTCAAGAGATTGCTCAGATAACTTTCTATCGATTTTTTGGGATTTTTGGTTTTTTATGATCACTGAGAATTTTGAATTTCACTATAAATTGGTTTTTCTTCCTTTTTTCTTTTTTCCTGCTTTTTTTTGTTTAAAATTCGGTCAATTTTCCGTTTTTTTTTACCTGAATTTCTAAAAATAGGTTTTGGTCTGCTAATTATCAAGTTGTAGTTTGTAGTCTAGCAGGCCCAAGTCAAAACTTTGCTCATTTTTCGCCTGGAAACTTCGTTGTTTCTCGGTTTTTGAAAATTGTTGACTACAAATTAAGCTATAAATTGGTTTTTCGTTCTTTTTTGCTCTTTTTCCGTTTTTTTTTACAAAGATAAGCGAAAATTTTTACCTTTAAAATACGGATTTTTGAGATTTGGGTCTGCTAGACTACAAACTACACTTCTAACATTAGCAGACCAAAATATTTTTTTTCTCATTTTTTTCCCATTTTTTGGCTTTTTTTCAGGAATTTGTGTAATTGAGCCCCAAATTTGAATTTTTCAATGTTTTTTAGACTAGAAATTGTTTTTTTTAGAGAAAAATCAAAAAAGTTAACCGAAAAATAAGGTTTTTAAAGTTTTGGCTTGCTAGACTACAAACTACATTTTGAACATTAGCAGACCCAAATCGGAACTTTGCTCGTTTTTCGTCTAGAAACTTTTTTTTTGAACATTTTCTCCGTCTTTTTTTTTCAAATATTAACTAAAAAAACTACAAACTACAGTATGCCGGGACTACAACACTACACCGCGCAGGGCTACGACGCCTACAAGCAGACGCTGGAGACGATTGGAAAAGGAAAACGTGTCGTCGCGCTGTTCACCGGCTCCAAAAATCTGAGCACCGGCCAATCGTGGTGTCCGGATTGTGTTGTTGGTAAGGAGGTGGGGCGGGAAATTTAAATTTTAGAAATTTTTTTGAAAAATCTAAAATTTCTAGCTGAACCAATCGTCGACCAGGTCATCCAGGATACTGTAGTCGCCGCCATCGACGTCCACTTCATCACGGTCTTTGTTGGGAATCGTGAAGTGTGAGTTTTGGGGTTTTTGGCGCCAAATTTGAAATTTTTCTAAAATTTTGAAAAAATAAAATTTTTTTGACATAAAAACCGGCTTTCAAGCTAATTCCTAAAAAATCAATTATCGATTTTTTTGCAGCTGGCGCGACCCTGCTGTCGGCTTCCGTACGGATCCATCTCTCAAGCTGACGTGCATCCCAACCCTTTTGGAGGTTAGAAACAAGGCCAAACGTCTTCTGGAGGGCCAAATTGCCAATAAGAATCTGGTCAAGGACTTCTTCGTTGATGAGGATTGATTTATTGATTTATTGATTTTTTCGAAATTTTTAAATCTGCCATTTTTTGTGATTTTCTATTTTTCTGGGTTTTGTATTGAATAAATTGGTGATTTTAACATATTTTATTGATTTTTAAACAGAGGATGTGCCCTAGAAATACTTAAAATTTAAAGTTTTCTGACGAAAAATTTTTCTGAAAAAAATAATTTTTCGAAAAAAAAATGTTTTTGAATTTTTTTTCCAGATGACGTCACCGCCGAATTTGTACCATGAGAAGCAGAAACTACAGTACTGCCTCATCCACACAGTAAATAATATTCTGCAAAAAAAGGAGTTCGATGCGACGAAAATGGACGAGATTTGCTATGGGATGAACGAGAGTAAATGGTTCAATCCGCATAGGTACAGTAATCCTGCCTGGAAGCTTGACACCTGAAGTTTCAGATTCAGCGTAAAGTTTGGGGCAGAATGAGTATCATAATTTCTGGATTTGAAAAAATCGAGAAGTTGAAAAATTTCAAAAAAAAATTTTTTTTCGAATTTTTCGAAAATCTACCGTATCTTTCTAAATTTTGTTTTTAGAGTTTTGCGATGAAAAAATTTGAATTTTGCATAAAATTTGGGTCAAAATGAGAAAAATAGTTGCTAGATTCAACAAAAAATTAAAATTGAAAAATTTATCTACCGTATCCGGATTTTGGTCCACGAAAATTTATTCAAACCTTGATTTTCTTCCTCAGCACGTTTTCAGCTTTAAAATGAGTATAATCATGCCCTACATTTCGGCAAAACCAGAAATCGGGTTACTGTAGCTCCCAAAAAGTGGGCGGAGTCTAATCAAACCGAACTGAAAATGAAAAATTGGGTTGAAGATTTTTTTGAAAACGATCTAAAAAGTAATAGAAGATTTTTAAAAATTGTTGGGAAAAATTTTTTTTTTATTGAAAATTTTCAACTTTCTAAACTACAAACTACAAACTACAAACTACAAATTGCTCATCCTTAACAAAAAATCAATATATTTCAGATCTTGGATCGGTACCGGCAACTATGACGCCAACATTCTTATAGCCGCCCTACAGAAGCACAACTTGAAGGTAGCAATTGCGCTCCACCGAACAGTTTAAAAAAAAATCGATAATCGATTTTTCCAGGTCGTCTGGTTTGACAAGCGTCTAGGTGTGGAGAAGATCAAATTCGAAAAATTACGCGCCATCGTTTTTAATATACCCTCCAGGACCCTGCTGACTCTCTACAGAGGCCGTCACTGGTTTGCGGTGGTCCAGAAAAACGAAAAGTGAGGATTTATTGATTTTTTAGGTCATTATTGATTTTTTTAATAATTAAAAAATTTTCGAAAAAAAATTTTTTTTGAAAATTTTTTTTTTCAATTTCAGATTCTACAACTTGGACTCCAAACTGAGCGCGCCTACAGTAATCGCGGAAATTGCGAATTTCACAAAAAACCACGTGGATTCTGGAGATTCAGAAGTGATGTTGGTCGTGGAGCAGGATGTGGACGAGGATACTGTAGTCGAGAAAATTTGAAAAAGTTAATTTTTTGTCGAATTTTTGATCTTTCTCATGACAGCTACTGCTTTCAATTGTATTGTATTTTTTTGTATATAAATTTTTGAAAAATTTGAAATTATCAATTTTTTGAAAAATTTTTTTTTGATTTTTTAAAAATTTCTCTGAAAATCTGAAAATTTTCAGCCAAATTTTCAATTTAAAAATCTAAAAAAAACGCCAAAAATAATTCAAAAACTACCGTACCTCTACTACCTGCATATCAAACTAGCTACTAGCTTCAAAACAAACAGAGAGAGTGCACCCTAGAAAAAGGGGCGGAGCCTTAGTCTCCTCATATTCCACACTCTCTCGCTTCCGGAGAGACGCAGACAGAAAAAAAGAAACATGCGATTTCCTAATAAGTAATCATATTTGGCCTAAAATCTACAGTAATCCATTTGGGGGGAGGCACAGTAACCCAATGAGTACTGTAGGCATGTGTTTACAGGAAAAAAAAAGCTGTAATTCTGGAAAAATCTGAAATTGTTTTTTCTTCTCTCTGCGTCTCTTCTTTCTTTGCATCTCTCGTTTGGTATCCCTGGCAACCAAGAAATCAGATTATTGCTCTTTTTTCCTTCTTTTTCCTCTTTTTTCCTGAGCTCCAAATGCGCCTATACAGGGTATGCTAACTTTAAAGGCGCATAACTCAAAAACCACGGTAGGTAGACAAAAGTTGCTAACTAGAAAAATGTGTAAAATGAAATTTGACACATTTTGGTGGTTTTCAATTTTCTCTAGCTACAGTAGTTTCTGAGTTATCGCGTTTAAAGTGAGCGTCATCCAATGAGAGACGCAGATAAGCTAGAGAGCTCTCGATTCTCTGCGTCTCTCGTTTTTTTTCAACCTGAAAATGCTCAAAAAAAATAGCAAAAAGTATTGCTACCAAGAGGAATCGAACCCGGGTCGTTAGATTGGTAGTTGAAATAACGAAAATCCCACTGAGCCATTTGTGCATTTTTTGGGAAATCGCTTAAAAACCCTGGAAAAATGGAATTTTCAGAGTTAGAAACTATTTTGTATCGGTTTTTCAAGTTTTTTTTGACTTAGAAACGTTGAAAATTAGGATATTTTTGAAAAATTTCGATTTTTCTCTTTTCCTATTTTCGCCCTTTTTCCCCCAAAAATAATATTTTCACCGGTTTTTTAGCTTTTTTGATTTGAATTTGAATTCAAAAAAAATTTCAGGTAATTCAAAATGTCTTCTTTTCACGAAAATGGGGATCCGCCCCCTTCGGCGACTTCAACACCACGTCCATCTCAGCCAGGTAAATGTTCAAATTACCGTAACTCGAACAATTTTTGAGTAAATCAAAATATTGTTAAAAAATTGTACTTGTCTTGTTGAGAGCTTCAAAATGAGCCCAAACACGACTAGGCTCCGCCCATTTTTATTTTTGGCTTTAAAGGCGCAAAGGGGGTCAAAAATCCGAGTGTCATGAAAAGTACGTCATGATTATACTCATTTTGAAGCTCAAAACCCCAGAGTTTCGAAAATAAAAGTAAATTTTTCGAAAATAAAAATAAATTAACAGAAATTCTCGACAAGAACCGAGTATGACCAAAACAAGATTTTTGGAAATTTTTCAAAAATAGGTTTTTCGCTCATAACTTTTGCTATGATAACAATTTTCAGACGAATCTTAGATTTTTAAATTTAACACGTTTGGAGCTTCAAAATGAGCATAATCATGACCTACTTTCCATGAATTCATTTTTCTGACAATTTTCGCACCGCCTATGCGCCTTTAATGTCAAAATTTCAAATTTAAAGGAACATGGTCGTGTTTATACTCATTTTGAAGCTCTAAACGAGGCAAATGTGAACAAAACCAAATTTTCAGGAAATTTTGAGTATTTAAAAAGTTGTGGTCAAAAATGTTAGAAAATTTTTTTAAAGTCAGCTCTTTTCAGCTTTGCTCTCTGGTCGTCGGGATTTTTACAAAATTGTCGAGCGAATTGAATCGATAATTGGAGAGGCTCAGGCCATCGAAAACGAGATCGAAAATGCGACTCCGCCCCCAAGCTCCGCCCATTTCACGGAAGCCTTGGTTGCTTACGAAGGTCTGGCTGGAAATTTTCAGAATTGTCTGGAAAGAATCGATTTGATGAAGAGAATGGACGTTTTGAGAGGGTTAGACATCAAAGGAGAGCTCGAGAGTTTCGGAATCTACGTGGATGCTCAGTTGGAGAAATTTTCCAGAATTTCAGAATTTTTGAAAAATTCTGGAAATCCAAAAACTTCTGAAAATGTCGTGGACGCTGTGAAAAAACTCCAGAAAGACGTAGAAGACGTCAAGAATCAGATGAAAAGACATATTGAGGAATATCGAGAAGATACAAGAAAAATCATGTTACTATTGGAGTATTTGGGAGCTGGAAATGCTGAAATATCAAGAACTGGATTCCGGAGACGTGGGTCTCCGTCCCCAAAGGATTACTGTAGATATGGAACAAGCCGTGGGGATGCACAACAAATGACAGGTCAGAAAGTGTTGAAAAAATCTGAAAAAAATTTTTTGGCTGAAAAATTTCAAAAAAATTCTCTAATTTTCAGTAATTTCAGTTGGCAACTTAGTTTTTTGAACTTCTTGTGCTAAGAGCTTTAAAATGAGTATAATCATGACCTACTTTCCATGATTTCAATTTTTCGGACCCCCTATGCGTCTTTAATGTCGAAAATCAGTGAAAATCAAAAATGGGCGGAGCCTAGTCGTGTTTATACTCAATCGAAAGCTCATAACGCCAGAATTTGAAAAATAAAAGCTTCTAACATAAAATCTTGAAAACCACCGAGTTACGACCGAATAAAGATTTGGTGAAAAAAAATTGAAATTTGGTTTTTTGGTCATAACTTCAGCTGTTTTCAACATTTTGAGATGAAACTTAAATGTTCATTTCTAGCACGTGGAGAGCTTCAAGATGAGTATAATCATGACCTACTTTCTATGAATTTGATTTTCTGACACTTTTCGCACCCTATGCGCCTTTAAAGTCATAAAAATCAAAGCGGGAGGAGCATAGTCGTGTTTATACTCATTTAAAAGCCCATAACGTCACAATGCCGAAAAATTAAGTTTCAAGTCTAAAATCTTGAAAACCACCGAGTTACGACCAAATAAAGAATTGTTGAAAAATTTGGAAGTTCGGTTTTTGGGTCATAACTTTTGATATTTTCGAAATTTTGATATCAAATTTATTTTTTTCATTTTTGGAACGTCCAGAGCTTCAAAATGAGTATAATCATGCCTATATTCCTCTCAAAAATTTTTTTCGGGTCCCACCACGAAAACTACAGTAACCCTCGATTTTCATTAAAATAGGGCATGAGTATACTTTTTAGAATCCGGAGAGGGCGAGAAACTCAATGGTAATTATAAAAATTTTCAGAAAAGGCGATTTGAGAATTTTTGACTGGAATTTAAAAAAAATCTTCTGAAAATTTTCAAAAAAGTTTTTTCTGAAACTTAAATTTTTTTCTGAAATTCTCTAATTTTCAGCGTCCACCCTTGCTGCTCACATTTCTGATGAAACTTCAAGATTTGGGGAAACTTCTGGAAACGGTGGACCACCCAACCAGGGATCATGGGGACCCCAAGACTCCTCTAGAAGACGTCCAGGTACTTTTCTTGCAATTTTAGTTTTTAGAAATTTTATTTTTTTCCACTAAACTTCTTTTGTTCTGAGGATTCCAAAAAGTATACTCATGCCCTATTTTGGCGAAAATTTAGGATTACTGTAGTTTTCGTGGTGGGACCTGAAAAAACCTTTTTCAAGGAAGTAGGCCATGATTATACTCATTTTGAAGCTCTCAGCGGGTTTAATTTGAATCTCAAAATTTCAAAAATATCTGAAGTTATGTTTACCAACAAACCAAATTTCGAATTTTTTCAAAAAAGCTTGATTTGATCATAACTCGGAAATTTTGAAGAATTTTGGTTTGAAACTTATATTTTTGAAATTCTGATGTTATGAGCTTTCAAATGAGTATAACCACGACTAGGCTCCGCCCATTTTGATTTTTCGACTTTAAAGGCACATGGGGGTCCGAGAAATGAAAATTGAGAAAAGTAGTTCATGATTATATTCATTTTAAAGCTCTAAACGTGGCCAATTTGAAAAATTAGCTTCGAAACTATAATTTTGAGTTTGAGAATGTCTTTTTAGTCAAAAACCTTTTTTTCAGACCATCGTCACGATGAGTATTATTAACCACTGTCAAGAGGGCGGAGCCAAGTGCAAATTTCAGACAAATAATTATTTTTCTTTAATTATGCTATTTTGAGTATTGAATTTGGAACTGATCTCATGAAATTTTCTTGAATTAAAAAAAATGGAATTTGACTTAATTTGGAATGAAAACAGTTTTTTTTCAAAATATTGATTTTTCAATTTCTCCTAGTTTCTGGAATTTTTGTTACAGATGACGTTGAACCTAACCAACCCACTGTTGCTGTTCCTGTCCAAAACCTCCGCATAGTGCCAAAAGTTAAAGGGGTAAGAAACTTTTGGATATATCTTAAAAACTAGAAGAGCTAGAAACAAAATTCAAGTTGGAAAATGTGTAGAATAAAATTTCACACATTTTCGTAAATTGTAGTTTTCTGATAGCTCTAACGGTTCCCGAGATTTGAGCCTTTCAAGTTTGACGGCGGCGACCGCCGCCGCCGCCCACACGAGAGACGCGGAGAAACGAGAGCGCGCTCGTTTCTCTGCGTCTCCTCCTGGGCAGCAGCGCGCGCGTAAACTTCAAAAGCTTATATCTCGGGAACCATCAGAGCAAATTTGAATTTTCCTTCTAGCATTTCTACTTTCTGAGATATCCTTATTTGTTTATAGCGCATTCGTTATTGTTCATTTGTGGTTCATGTGGACCCTAATTTTAAAGGAAAAAAAGGACGAAGTTACGGTTTGGCTTGGTCCCAACTTGGAAATTTATACTTCCCGGACACACCATGTGACAAAATGGGGAGACAAGTGAAACCGGGAGATTGGGTGGCTCTGGATGTGCGGTGAGTGGGGTTTTTCACTTAATTACCACTTAATTAGCCTCTAATTATCTTCAGCGAACAAGTATCAAAAAGAGGTCGACGACATCGTGATGTCAGAATATATGACGAAATTTTGGATTCAGGAGAAACCCGTGTGGAATGGGGAGATGATATCAGGAATCCAAAGGTAATTTTTAAAAGCGCATAAGTCAAAAACTACGGTAGCTATCAAAAATAGGTCAACTAAAAAAATGTGTAAAACTAAATGCTACATGCTTTGTTAGTTGACAACTTTTTTCTAGCTACTGTAGTTTTAGAGTTATACTCCTTTAAAGTTGGCGCACCTCACCGTTTGCTTCCGGCGCCTGACAGAGGGAATGAGGCGCGGCAACTTTAAAGGCGCATAACTCAAAATCTAGAAAAACTATAGCACACAAAATAAGATTGTGAAAAAGTGTAAAATTTGATTCTACACATTTTACTAATTGACAACTTTTTTCTAGCTACCGTAGTTTTTGAGTTATGCGCCTTTAAAGATGGCGCGACTCGTCACCTGAAGGAGAGGGGAGGTGATGTGTCAACTTTAAAGGCGCATAGCTCAAGAACTACGGTAGCTATAAAAAAGTTGCTAAATACAAAAATATGTTAAATTTAATTTTTAATATTTTAATAGTTGAAAATTGTTTTCTAGCTACTGTAGTTTTTGAGATATGCGCCTTGGCGCTCCGCCTCCCCTACCCGCCTCTGCCAGTGGAGCTGCGCTAAATTTAAAGGCGCATAACTCAAAAACCATCGCTTTTATCCAAAAGTTGTCAACTACAAAAATGTTTAGCTTTAAATTTTACACAATTGTAATTAACTTTCCAGCTAATTACAACAATCTTCATTTCCTCACGATCCCCTGTAGAGATGGAGAACTACTTTTGCAAACATATCCATTGTAAATGGGTTCGAGTCAACGCGGAAATCGTTAAAGGAAAAGGAGACAAGTGAGAATAGTTAATTAAGGGTAATTAAGACTAATTAAATGTTTTTATGGATTGAAGTCAGAATCCAGCGTCTATCCGCCCCCGTTGAGGTTTCAGAGAGGAATGACGTTTGCTATTGGGAAGTAGTTGAACTTTCGGATTTAAATGTTTTTTAATTTTTTATAATTAACGCTTCATGTTATGAAATAGTCTGAAAATTGATAAAAATTGAAGAAAATACAATTTAATCCTTGAAAAATGCATTTTTCTATATTTTTCCATGACTTTTTCAGTGAAAAATTGTTGAAATTTAAGATTTTCAGAATTCCTGAAATTTCAAACATCGGGAAATTTTTAATAAAATTTTCTTTTAGAATAATTAAAGCAATTATGGGAAAGCCAAAAATAGTTTTCGAAATTTCCTAAAGTTTGGTACAGTACTCGATTTCCGACAGAAATGTCCAATAATACAGTGAGTCGAGCCATTGAAGATAACGGTTACGGATCGAGAACTGAAAAAAGTTGGATTTGTCTGAAAATTTCAGAGTATATAGAGGAATTCTAGAGCTAAAGTTTTGTAGTTTCCAAGTTTTTCTAAGTACTGTAGTTTTTGAGATATGCGCCTTTAAAGTTGGGGAGTCGCTTCCCAGGGGGAGGAGGGAAAGAGGAGGAGGAGCTGTAAAGGCGCATAACTCATTAACTACGGTAGATAGGAAAAAGTTGTCAACTATGAAAAATAAGCTATAAATTTGATCTAAATTGTGTACATTTTTCAGAAGAATCCAACTTCCCTCTAGTCATTTTTGGAGCCATTTTTAGAGCCGTTTTTTTTCCAATTGTCATCATTTTCTCAGTTTTTGGCCTATAAAAAATTGTATCTCGTGAACTTTTGCCGTGAATTTCTTCCTCCCAATCTATTTTTTGTGCGTCTGCCAACTAGTTTTTAAGTAGTTCTCAATTTAAACCTCATGTCTTTCTCCATAGATTTCTATCCAACGAAGGAGGAAGTTTTTCAGAAAAGTGATGAAGAATGTCTGGAAATTGTGAAGGAATTGAAGTAAGATTAATTTAGGAAAATGTTATACCAATATAGAAGAGCTGAAAAGCTTCATTTTTGCAATTGACAACTTTTTTCTATCTATCGTAGTTTTCAAGTTATGCGCCTTTAAAGTTGGCGCCCCATTGCGGGAAGGGAGGAGAGAGCATGCCAACTTCAAAGGCGCATAACTCAAAAACTACGGCAGATATCCAAAAAATCTCAATTGCAAATTAAAGCTCTGATTTTGTTATATAATTGCTTTAAGATTCTTCAAATTCTGTGAAATATGAATGCATAAAAATATTCAAGAAAGTTTGATTTCCATATTATTGAAAAAAAAAACCAAAATTTTGGAAGTTCCGAAAGCTAATTTAGCTTATTCTAATCTTTTTGAAATTTTTGTATATACTAAACAAGGCTAGAGCTTCATTTTTGTAGTTGACAATTTTTTGATAACTACCGTAGTTTTTGTGTTATGCGCCTTTAACGTTGGCGCACCGCTTCCCCCTCCTCCTTCATAAGGGGAAGCGGCGCGCTCAAATTTAAAGGCGCATATCTCAAAAACTACTGTAGGTAGAAAAATTTTGGGAGGTGCAAAATAAAGCTCTATTTTTGTTCAGTATAATCTAGGAATTTCATAAGATATGAAATATTCTATAATATTTAAAAACTTGCAGGAAAAAGCCAAACCAGATTTTCAACTTTAAGCCCGTATATCTCATTTTCTGTAAACTTTCAGAGTCAACGAAGACACTTACTTGGACACTGATTTCCCACCAACAACGAAATCATTGGGAAAATGGATCGATTATCATACTGGCAAAGTCGTAAAACTCCCCGGAATGTGCTGGCTGCCTGTACAATTTCTTAAAGAGGTTCAATACAGAAGGTGTCATCCGGTTTTACTTTCCCATATGGACAAATGGTGTTTATGGAAAGATCCATGGCCATTTCATGTTTGTCAAGGAGTTGTGGGTGATTGTTGGTTGTTGGGCCCACTGATGACAATTTGTAGAAGAAGAGAGTTGATGGAACAGATTATACCAAGAAATGAGTATGCGATGGAGCAAGGATTGGTACAGGTTAGGTAAGATTTTCGAAACTTCGGGCAATTTTTTTCTAATAGTCGTTTTTAATATCCACATCTTCCAAGTTAGATCATTTTAGAATGTGGATTTTGAAGCAAGTTATGGACATTGTTCTGTTCATATTGGAAAATAATTATGATCCATAACTTTGGTCATAATCAATATTTTCGAACGTCCCAAACTGTAAATTGTAGATCTTAAGAAGGACTACAAAATCATATATAATTCAATATGCTTTTAATTTTGGGTATTTGAAATAGGGAGCCTTAAAGATTGGAATCTATTAGCGTCTGCTCTGTCGTCAGCTTGAAGTAGCCTCCCTAGCAAAAAACGATGTAGCTAGCTTCAAATTGTAGATTTTAAAAAGAGCTACAAAACCATAAAAAATTCAACTAGATCCTATTTTTCCATATTATCAGCAGAACGTGTTTAACACAGGCGTCTTTCAGAATGAAACGGCCGCGTTCAGTAGAAAGTCTATAACTTTATTCAGGTTTCATATTTTTAGTTATTTGAAATGGAAAATGTAGACCCTAATAAACGCTACAGAATCATAAAAAATTCGTCAGGATTTTTGAAAGCTGCTGGGGTTTTTGAGTTATGCGCCTTTAAAGTGGGCAAGCCAAACCGCCTCGCAAACGAGTGAAGGGGCGGAGCTAAAATGGACGTAACTTTTTTCAAATATGAGATTTTACAAAAATTCAAAATTAAGGTTGTAGGTCTTGAAAAGAGCTTCAAAATCATATAAGATTCGGCTAGTTTCAGTTTTCAAATTTCTGAGAAACGTTAGATGAATTCATTGGATTCCCAAAAAGTTTCCTGTTTCAGACTGCTCATCGATGGTCAATGGCAAGTGTTTCGTTTGGATTCCTATATTCCAAATATTGATGGAGTTGAGCAATGTGTGATGATGACCAGAAAACAGGCATGGGCGGGTTTTATTGAAAAAGCGTTCGCCAAGAAGAGAGGATCTTATGGGGCTCTAAATGGAGGATGCGCAAATCATACGTTCCATTGTTTGACAGGTAATTATTGTTTGACAGGTAATTATAATAGCCATTTTTGCAAGTCAATTTTTCTCAAAATTTCGAAATTTGAATCGAATCAAATTTCATATCATTTTGTAGAGCTTTTAAAGATCTACATTCTGCAGTTTGAATTTTCAAAAAATCGCTCATTGACAAAAACAGTTTGGGTGCGTGATAAAATGAATGAGGATCAGCTTTGGGAAGATATGATGAAGTATTTGTGAGTATTTTTGTATATAATTTGGAAAAGTGATGGCTATTTGAATTTTATATCATTTTGTAGCTCTTTTCAAGCGCTTAAATTTACAGTTTGAGTTTTTGAGAATTCTTAACTTTGAAGCTAGCCGCATCGCTTTTGCCTAGGGAGGCTACTACGACGGAGCGTCCGCTGATAGTTTCCAATCTTTAAGGCTCTCTTATTAGTATACCTAAAATTCAAAGAATATTGCGTTATATATATTTTTGAAGCTTTTTTTAAGACCTACAACCTCCATTTTGAATTTTTGTAAATCTCAAATTTGAAAAGAGTTACACACTTTTTAGCTCCGCCGGCTTTCTGATGACTGCATCGGCGTACCCATTGAAAGAAGGAACAGAAAAATGGGAATTCTTCAAAACAAACAATATGGTCCATAGTCATGCATACGCGGTTCTCGATTTCAAACAATATGATGATCATCGATTGATCAAATTTGGAAATAACAATATAAAACCATGGAAAGGAAATTTTGCATCGATGAAAAGTTATGAATTCGAAGAAGGTTACTTTTTAGTTCGAAAACTATCACAGAACAAAACCAGGGCTTCATTGTTGTAGTTGGAAACTTTTTTCTATCTACAGTAGTTTTTGAGTTATGCGCCTTCAAAGTTAGCGCCTCGCGAAGGAGAGGAAGGATTCAACTTTAAAGGCGCATATCTCTAAAACTACGGTATCTATAAAAAACTGTCAACTGCAAAATTGAAGCTCTAACGTTGTTTAATACACACAACATTTTTCAAAAAAATTGAAATAAGTTAAATTAGTTTTCAGAAATTTCAAAATCAAAGAGTCTTTTTTTTTTTGAAATAATGGGGAAATCGAACTTTCTCAAATGTTTTTATGTATTCCAGTTTTTCAGATAAGGAGGAGGGTCGCACCAACTTTAAAGGCGCATAACTCAAAAACTAGGACAGCTAGAAAAAAACTGTCAATTACAAAAATGAAGCTCTGGTTTTGTTTAGTACAATGGGAAATTTACAAAAAACATTAGTTATTCTGAAATCTTTAAAAACTTGCTTTTCAGAAAATTTTGAAAACTTGGCATTTATTGACTTGTACCTGTCGGATCTGAAGATATTCTGGATGGAATTAAAGGATTTTTGTCGAATTTTCGATCAACTCTCTGTTTGCCACTATCGAGAGGGATGGCATGAGAAACGGTTGAGACAGAGAGTGAATCGAAAAAATGGACAGGCTTTTCAGTTGGGATTTGATTCAAAAAATTCAAAAAACCAAAAAAAAAAAATGTATTTTTCAGAATCATTCGCGTTGATGTAAAAGAAACGTGTGAAATGGCAATAGAAGTGTTTGCTCAAAGATGCACTTGGCGAAATGTATGGTCCTTTTCTTAAACTTTTATAAAAGATGCAAAAAATCGAGTTCGCACCTTTTTTGTTTAGAAATACCATAACTTAAAAGCTTTCGAACATTTTTGTCTGAAATTTCCAGAATACATGAATCAAAACTAGAGCTTCATTTTTGCAGTTGATTGATTTTTCATAGCTAGCCTAGTTTTTGAGATATGCGCCTTTAAAGTTGGCACGCCCCCCCCCCTCTCCCAAATAAGAGGTGTGTTATCTTTAAAGGAGCATATCTCGAAAACTATTATAGCTAAAAAAGATATGTTGATTGCAAAATGAAGCTCTAGTTTTGTTTTGTAAATTTCATCATAATCTGAAAAGTTTGAACACATAAAAACATTTGAGAAAGTTACATTTCCCCATTATTTCAAAAAAAAACCTTTTTTAATTTTGGAGTTCCAGCAAAATAATTTAGCTTACTCTAATCTTTTTGAAAAATGTTGTGTGTATCAAACAACATTAGAGCTTCAGTTTTGCAGTTGACAACTTTTTTCTATCTACCGTAGTTTTTGAGTTATGCGCCTTTAAACTTGAAGCGCCGCTCACCAGGCGCCTTCCCCAACCCCCCTCCCCCCGGGCTGGCGCCGCGTCAACTTTAAAGGCGCAAATCTAAAAAACTAAGTATTGCAAAAATTCAAATTTTATATCGTTTTGTAGGTCCTCTGAAACCCTACAGTACTAATTTTAAAGTTTTCGAAAATCTCTAATTGGAAGATAGTTACATACCTTTTACCTAGGGAGGCTATACCCCCTTTAATAAAAGCCCCAAAATTCAAAACATAGTGTTTATTTTATCATTTTGTAGCTCTTTTCAAGCCCTATAACCTCTATTTTGAATTTTTGTGATATCTCAATTTTAAACCAAACTACACTCATTTTTCTAGACAAATATCTTTCTCAACCTTCATCGCTGCTGTCCAGACAGCCAGGAGGCTTCAGAGCTTATGTATGCGGCACACGATTTCGAGCAACAAATCACTTTTGACGAATCTTTAGAATTACAACCAGGATCTTATTTTGTGATCGTTGTATTTGTAGAATCCATGAATAAATTGGATTTGGATTGGGTTTTTAGAAGGTGACTCAAATTTTCATTTAGCTTCAAAAAACTCAATAATTTCAGCTCAAAATCGCTGGAAAGCTTCTCGCTGAGCTTCCATATTTGCCCCTTCTCGACAGTTCTGAAAAGTGTGCAATCGATTTTTCTGATCTACGGAAAAGTAGATCATAGAGTTGAGGGTCAAGTCATTGTGTACACTTGGCACGGAGAGAAGAGCAAGTTTGTGATGGTGGACAATTTGAGAGCAGAGGATTACTGTAGATTCAGGTAATTAATAGATTTTGTAATTATCAATATGGTATCTTAGTGGAACCATCGACCCGGATTATACAAGAAAAGTTCAAAAATTCATGTTTTACAATTACTCACAAGTGGTGCCGCCCAAATCTCGAATGATCGTTGGATATACTTCGTATTGTCCAGAAGTGGGGCATTGGGAAGGTAAAATAATTATCAAGGTAATCATCAAGTCTAGAGCTTTATTTTTGTAGTTATCACTTTATTTATAGCTACCGCAGTTTGGGAGATATGCGCCTTTAAAGTTGTCGCCTCTCTCTGACGGGCGCCTGAAGGAAGCAGGGAGGATCGCTGACTTTAAAGGCGCATATCTCTAAAACTACGATAATAGAAAAAAAAAAGAAAACTACACAAATGTGTAAAAATTACTTTTGCATATTTTGTTAATTTAAGTCTTTTTTCTAGCTACTGTAGTTGGGGAGATATGCACCTTGGCGCGCCGCCCACCCTTTTTAGGCGCGCCAGCTTTAAAGACGCATATCTCAAAAACTATGGTAGCTAGAAAAAATTGGAAACTACAAAATTGAAGCTCTAGAATTGTTTTGTATTCTCTGAAAATTTCAGACAAATCCAATTGTTTTCAGTATTCGATCGGTAACCGTTATCTCAAATGGCTCGACTGGCTGTATTATTGGATATGTCTGTCGGAAATCGAGTACTGTACCAAACTTTAGGCAGATTTGAGAACTTTTTTTGGGAAATCCATGAATGTTTTGATTCTTTTTCAAATAAAACGATTTTTAAAACTTTCAGATTTTTAGAAAAAAAATTCAGAAGCCAAAAATTTTAGGAATTCTGAAAATCTGAAATTCCAACATCTCGAACTTTCTAGAACATTAAAAACTTGCTTAAAATAAAAGCAAGAAAAGTTTGCCACCGGGTGGAATCGAACCCGGGTGGCCAGATTGGCAGGTCGCATCCTGAAAATCCCACTGAGCCACTTGTGCATTTTTCGGAAAATCGCTCTAAAACAGTGGAAAATGCCATTTTCAGAATTAGAAACTATTTTTATCACTTTTTTCAAGTTTTTGTGTCCTAGAAATGATATTTTCAACCAATTTTGGCAAAAAAAAAATTTCAAAAAGTTTCAAATTCCGGATTTTTTTTTGAAATTTTCGACTTTTGGAATCTAGAACCTTTTAGAACCCTAAAAACTTGTTCAAAAAAGAAGCAAAAAAGAAGTTTGTCACTGGGTGGACTCGAACTCGGGACGTTAGATTGGTAGGTTGCGTCCTGAAAATCCCACTGAGCCATTTGACCCCATTTTTTGGAAAATTGGTTTTTAGCGTTTCAAAATGGTTTTCGAGAATGTAGAAGCTGATTTTCAGGTGTTTTTCATGTATTTTCATTGTTTTGGGGTACTTTTTAAGTGGAAAATTTGAAAAATTTTATTCGAAAAGTTTTTCCTCAAATTCCCCTACCTGTTAGGCTCGTTGATTTCAAAGGCGCATGTCACAAATTCTAAGCTAGCTGGAGCAAAATCACTAACTACATAAATGTGTAAAATTTTAAGATCTATATTTTTTTAGTTGAGCGTTTTTGGCTAGCTTTGTTAGTTTTCGAGATATCTTCAAATTTCTGAAGGTTTCCAAGATTTATTATTCAAAAAAGAAAACAAGGGGCGTACGGTTTACGGTACTAGGGGGAAGGGGGGAGGGGGCAATGAAAAAATTTTGAAAAAAATTAAGCAGTAGAGGTGGATGGTCCCTGTCCAGCAGTTGCAGCTGCAGCCTCTTTCTTGGCCCTCTCCTGGGCCTCCTTCTCAGCCGCCGCATCCTCCTCATCAGTTGGAATCATATAAATCTCGCGAATCTCTTCTGGAGACTTCCCTTTAATCATCATGGCCACCTGTTTGCAGCAATAATTGAGCAGTTGCTTGACATCCAAGTAATTCGCAGCCATAATAAAATCGAACAATTCCTCATTGTCAATCCCATCCAACATTTTTTGGTCCCATTCTGGAATGTTGACCTGTTTTGGGATGGAGGTGTCTTCCACTGGGATTGGCTCTCCTTTATGGTGCTCACACCAGTCCATAACCATTTGAAGGATGGCTCCTTTAATGTGCTTCAGTTGGATTGGTGTGGCGGCTGCTTGTTCGTCAGTGTAGCCAAGATTCGAGATCATTCCGTGGATGGTGGCCGATTGGCCGAGCGCCAATTCGCTGACTTTGATTCTAACGTCGTCTTCGCCGGAGACGTAGTAGAAGGATTCGGTAGCGGCAGCTGGAGCATCAGCAGTGGCTGGTGAAGCAGCAGCCCGTTGGTCAGACATGTTTTTTTTAATTTTTGATAATTCCAAGTTATCTGAAATAAGAGAGAAGTTAGGTAAGTTGGGAAATCGGGTAGGAAAAGCTGAAAAGAAGAAAAATAGGCTAAGCTAGGCTAAGCTAGGCTAAGCTAGGCTAAGCTAGGCTAAGCTAGGCTAAGCTAGGCTAAGCTAGGCTAAGCTAGGCTAAGCTAGGCTAAGCTAGGCTAAGCTAGGCTAAGCTAGGCTAAGCTAGGCTAAGCTAGGCTAAGCTAGGCTAAGCTAGGCTAAGCTAGGCTAAGCTAGGCTAAGCTAGGCTAAGCTAGGCTAAGCTAGGCTAAGCTAGGCTAAGCTAGGCTAAGCTAGGCTAAGCTAGGCTAAGCTAGGCTAAGCTAGGCTGGGCTAAGCTAGGCTAAGCTAGGCTAAGCTAGGCTAAGCTAGGCTAAGCTAGGCTAAGCTAGGCTAAGCTAGGCTAAGCTAGGCTAAGCTAGGCTAAGCTAGGCTAAGCTAGGCTAAGCTAGGCTAAGCTAGGCTAAGCTAGGCTAAGCTAGGCTAAGCTAGGCTAAGCTAGGCTAGCTTGAAACATCCATAGCTAGCAAAAATCAGCCAAAGCTAGGCAGTCTAAGCTAGCTCAAGACATCCGGACTCAGCTAAAGCTAGCGCAAAACGTCTGAAACCAGCCGAAGCTAGCTCTAGATTTGGATTTGTCGATTTTTGGGGAAAAGGACCAAGAGAGCGGACAAAAAATGAGACAACGAATGAATGACTCTCTGCCAACCCCCGTCCCTTATATACCCATCCTTGTTGGATGGGCGGAGCCAAATGACGCACCTTCCTAGAGGAACAATTGATTACCGAGGGGTCTAGATGGCAAATCGCACCTTTCCAAGAAGAAGATTCCAACGCAGGACCTTTTGGATTGGCGGGAAGTAAGTAGGTTGGCAATATCCCAGGTGCCCCAGGGAAGGTCGAACTCTTTCCAGGAGCACAGAAACCTGGCATGGGTATGACCTTGAGATTAGGGTACTTGAGATAGGTCATCTCAACAGGTGACAATAGGATCCTATGATGGATGGTGCGATTCGAGATGTCACCTCTTACAGGCGATAAGATTTGGGAGGTAATGCATGGGAAAATGAAGATTCTATAGAGAATGGAGCTATTGAGGGAGAACTCAACCTGTCTGAAGCTGCTCTGATGCAAGAGGGGTCTATCCGAAGCAATCCGAAATACGCAGCTAAGGAATTTGTTGAGGCAGCTGAAATTGAAATTTGCAGATGGTTAGGACATATGTGCTCGAATGTTTACTTAAATACGTCTTCTGAGACAATCTGAAGGTTTTGAAGTCTAGAATATCATTTAGCATGTTTTAGGATCTCTCAAAATTTCCTTATATTCTAGAATTTTCAATTTTTGAGCGACTTCCAGGTCTTCACAATGTTTAAATTGCTCCTAATGAGCAGTGTGACGCAGTGTACTATTTAAGCTAGAAACGTTTGAGCCTGAGCTGTAATAGAATGCCCCGGAGTAATCAACTAATGAAATGTTACTGATTTTATGATAAACAATTTATCAGTTGACAAAGATTTGATATCTTTCTCAAGAACCGAGATATATGGGATCAAAGGAGGACGGTTCGGGAGAGGTTCGTTCTATTAGAGTGATTACTGTAGTTATACTTCAATTGGTATCGAAAAATGTCTAACTTGTAATCTAAAACTAATAATCTAAAACTACCTAAAGCTCAGACAAGCCTTTCGAAAAATATTATTTGTGTGAGGGGGTGATCTACAGTAGTGATCTACAGGGTAGAGATCGCGCGTTTTACCTGGTTTCGGGGGGGGGGGGGGGGGGTTCAGGCCCTTTTGGCGATTTTTTCGTGGTTTTTTTTTGATTTTCTTCTGTTTGAAGACGTCTCATCTAGCTTCATAGTTTTTCTGGCCACCTTCCTTCTTATTTTCAAGAAAACCTGGCATTGTGCCAGGTACCTGACCCTTTCCATCGGCTGATCTCCCTCATTAGCAGATCCATTATGACCAATTATCCCAGGAGAGGACCTTACCGTAATCCTCTTACCATCTGCCCACCATTTTCGTATTGCTCATTGTTTCCTTGGCTCCTGAGAAGACGCACTATTCGGATTTCCCCTGGGAAGATGATGACCTACGGGTCCTACCTGTACTATATTTCTTTTGAGAATGTTGTCTGAATCGATAAATCCAAGTTTTGGGCTAGCTTAAGCTATCTCAAGGTAGCTCAGACTATCTAGAGCTAGCTTAAACTGTCTCAAGTTAGTTTAGACTATCTCAAGCTAGCTTAGAGTATCTCCAACTTTCTTAAACTCGTTTCGTGCGACTTCCTTACCCTAAATCTTGCCTAATTGCAGAAAACTCCAAAATCATGGCTGATGCTCCAGCCCCACCACCAGAGAGCCCCACCACCCTCAACAATCTGGTCACCGGACAAGGTCTGGATGCAGAGAAAGCAGCCAAATCCTCGATTCCAATCAATAACATCGATGGAGCGACACTGGAGAAGGTGGCAGCGTGGTGTGAGCATCATCGTGGCGAAGAACCGATTCTAGAAGACGTCGAGGGACCGTTGCCGAGACGAACGAACATTCCAGAATGGGATGGAGTTCTTGAAGGCGTTGAAAGATGAGGATCTCGGGAAATTGGTGTTGGCTGCCAACTACTTGGAGACGAAGAAGCTTCTTCGGTATTGCTGTAAGAAGATGGCGATGATGGCTCAGGGAAAGGCTCCACTGGAGTTGAGAATCCTTTTCGAGATTTCAACTGATGAGGAGGATGAGCATGCTGAGATGGGATTGAAGGAGAGACACCGCGTAGCTCCGTCGAGGAAAAAGTGACAAGAAGAAGGCGGAGGAGAGACAACGCACATAACTTTTTTCAAACGTAACTCTTGAAGTTGAAATTAATATTATTTTGTAGAAAAATTTAAGAGCTTCAAAATGAGCTTAAAACCAATTTTTAGGACCTAAATTGAATAAAGTTATGCGCCTTTAAGTACTGTGTACTTACGAGCTAGCTCTACTCTAATGTATTTAAAGGTGCATAACTTGTTTCAAATCTAACTTTGAAATTTGAAATTTAACCTATTTGGTAGCAAATTTTAATTGCTTCTAAAAAACGTAAATTCAATTTTAAGAACTGAATATTACAAAAGTTATGCGCCTTTAAGTACCATATATCTATTACCTTGCTTTTAAAGGCGCATAACTTGCCTCAAATCTAACCCAAAATTTTGAAATTTAAATTATTTTGTAGCAAATTTTAAGAGCTTCAAATTAGTATTAATTTCATATTTTTAGATAGTATTTGAAAAAAGTTATGTGCCTTTAAAGTTTATACCATTTTCTAATGTTTATTTCTGTTTTATTTCAACTGCTAATTTTGACTTTTAGTGTTCCAACAAACATTATTTTTGAAACTGTAATCTGATTTTTATCCACATTCTTCCACTTTTCGCCCAAATACTCAATTCCCAATTCGATTACTTTTTAAAGAATTTCGTCAGAATCCAGAGGAATGTTTGTGAATATATTCTGAAAACATTCCGAAATCTGAGAAGAAAATTGAAGCAACAAACCTCGATAGCATTCATTTTTAAGATTTAAATAAAGTGCAAAGCCAACGAAAAAAGATCTGTCGGAATGATAAAATCCGAGCTTTTGATTCAAGGGATGGTGGGCGGAGCTTATATTAGATCATATCTCGAAAACCTTCAAGACTGTTAGGTTTTTTTTTCAGAAAGTTATGTTTTGACAGGATTTTGGTGTTTGAGAGCTTATTTCTTTTGTCTTATATCTTGCAACCAATTTGAATGAACAATTTGGTTTTAGGAATGAAAGTTTATTTGGTTGTTCGTTGGCCACGAGTTAAGGACGGTTGGACGGGTATTGGCCAGGTATTAGTCGGAGCATGCCTAAAAACGGATGTACAGCGGGCCATCGTCAGATTACGGACGGAAGCTGAAAGTTGAGTTACTACTAGTTCCGAACCTTGTCAAACGTTTGGAAAACATGACTTTCGTATCTGTCTTATCCGGAATCGGACCAACCTCCAACCATCTCGGCTGTGGGTGCGAATACTTAGACAAAATTCCCTGATTTACAAGTCTTGGCAAACGTATGCGCGTCTAAAAGCCATGGTGGTGGCTCTCACAAATCAAGGCTAAAAGCTGGAAAGCCACAAGTCTAGGCTAAACTTCGATTATTGATTTTTTACCGTCGGATTCGTCATTTAATTTTCACTGTTCTCCTGCAGATGTTTCCGGCAACGCTCGAGTAATCTTAACCACAAAAATACAATTATTCACAATCAACAAACATTTTATTTCAAGAATCAATTAAATACAACATTATCCTTTCTTGCTCAATTCTTCGTAAATTTTTTGAGATCTTGGTTTCAAATGAAAATAAACTGCCAATCTATCCCGTGCTTGAACATCTAAATCCACCCCGTTTTCGAATTTTAAAAGTGCATGTTTCATAGCAGAGAGTGCCCAGAATAAATGAGTGAGAGGCCAGAAGAAGAGACACTCCTGGATTAGAGACTCCAGTTCAGATGATCTATCGGAAGGAATATGGTTCTTGAGCTGAAAATTAAAATAGTCAATTTTCATTTTCTCTAAATTCAAAAACCTTATTATCAGCATCTAGATATGCTTCACAGAATACACGAATATTCGGAGGATTTTCAGTTAAATTCTCAATGATCTTGATTCCAGGAGGGAATGGAACACGGAAGTCTATCGCAGTCTCAGACAAATGCATTGCCAAATCGAATCCTCTCCAATTATAAGTACCGAATTCCCAATCAATGAGAACCAATTCCTTTGTAGAGTTGAGTTCCAAAATGTTGCCACTCTGAAAATTTGAGAGAAATTTTTATTCTCCTTCATAATAAAACTCACCGCCAAATCGTTATGACTGAATACCAAGGTATTCTCGTACAGTTCGGTGGACAACTTTTCAAAAATATTTATCTCATTTGTCAAATCGTCCACTGATACACATTTTGGATGATCAGAATAAGTTACGGTAGTTGGCAGAATTTCATAATCTCCACCTCCCAGAGCTCTGAAAATCGGAAAAGTCGACTAATGAAAAAAGAAACGAGGCTCACTTGTAACCATCAAGCCAATCTCTCATCAACTGAATACATCTTCTATTTTGGGATACTGGAACTTTGATGGCATGATACGGAGGGAATACGGTACCAATCTTTTGGGAAATTCTGAATTGTATGTTTCTCAGACAAATCTATATCAAATGAACTAACTCAAGATTCAGAACATCGTCAAAATTCAATGTTCTGCTTGGCAAGTATTCTTCCATCCGTCCTCCTTCGAAGAAGCCATACAGTTTTGGACCGAGACCACGCTCTGAAAAATTTGAAAAAAATTGCTAGAAATTTAAACAAAAATTACCTGAGAAAATGGCGAAATTGACAGTATCCATAAAAACTTGGCTTGGTTGTTGACGATGAATTCTGAGAAGATATGGTGTGGCAGAAGTGGATGACGTCACGTGGAACATGTGATTAGATTGTCCACCTCTGAAAATTGCCTTATAAATTTTAATTAGAAAAGAAACAAACTCACAAAATTCTGGTTACTTTAACTTCCGATTTATCTGTGTCTTTCCATTCTCCTCCCAAAAAGTCTCTTCCCAATTCGATCACTTTTTGAAGAACCGCTTCAGAATCAGGAGAATGTTCAATGAAGAATTTCTGAAATCAGGAAAGATTTCAGCAAAATAAAACCATGTTTCTCACCTCTATTTCAGTCATTTTGGGTTGTTGTACTTTCAGATTTTGGTTTTTTATTCTGAAAGTTTATTAAAATTAGAAAAGGGCAATAGTTCTTATCGCTGTAGCTACTTTCTTTTATATGTCAAACTAACAAAGAATGATTTGTTAAAGAGACGTTGCACTAGCGGGAAAACGCCTTTCCCCGACGGCTAGAGGAAGGTCAAAAGACAGCAGACGCGTTCGTTTGATTTATTGGTCTTGATGGTCTCCAAAATAACAAGAGGGAATGATGGAGCGCGGTTCTCTAAAGAAAGCCCCTCTAATTTTATTTGGGTCCTCTACACTGGAATAGAGCCAAAAATTATTAGTAACAGATGTCCATTTGTCAACAAAGAACACAGAAATCAAATGATAGTATGGTCAGCTATTTGGGTCACTTTCAATTGTAACTGGTTATCTGACTTTTTGAACTCTATTCTTATCAATCGAATGAATAAAACATAATCAGAAATCATAAAAATGACAAATGAATACCAAAAGTCATAAATATTACATTTATTTTATTTCTCTTTGAACAAGAACACAACATAGATCAAAACATTTCAAAGTGCCTTCTTCCACTTTTTCAACTTTTCGTAAATTTTTTGAGATCTTGGTTTCAAATGAAAGTAAACTGCCAATCTATCCCGAGCTTGAACATCTAAATCCACCCCGTTTTCGAATTTTAAAAGTGCATGTTTCATAGCAGAGAGTGCCCAGAATAAATGAGTGAGAGGCCAGAAGAAGAGACACTCCTGGATTAGAGACTCCAGTTCAGATGATCGATCAGAGGGAATATGATTTTTGAGCTGAAAAATAGAATCATTAGGTATTTGCTAGTTTCTATTTGAACCGTATTATCAGCATCTAGATAAGCTTCGCATAGAATACGAATGTTGGGAGAGTTATCAGTCAGATCTTCACTGATTTTTATTCCAGGTGGAAATGGAACATTGAATGTGATTGCCGATTCAGATACAAACATTGCAAGATCAAACCCTCTCCAATTGTATGATGAGAACTCGCAATCAATGAGAACCATTTCTTTTGTAGAATTCAGCTCCAGAACATTTGACACCTGAAAACAACATTAATGTCTTTTATGGCATGGAAACTCACCCCAAAATCAATTTGTCCAAAAACCAAAGTGTGCTCGAAAACTTCTCTTGCCCATTTCTCAAAGGTGTCAATTTCTTCACTCAATTTCTGAACCGAAATTGTTTTTGGATGATCAGAATAGGTTACGGTGGTTGGTAGAATTTCGTAATCCCCTCCTTCAAGTTCTCTTAAAACGAATTTCTGAATTTTGAATTTATGAATCTCAATCTTACTTATATCCATTCAACCAATATCTCATTAATTTGGTGCACCGAACATTTTTTGAAACTGAAATATCCATTGCATGAAACGCAGGAAGTGCTGCACCAATTCTTTGAACGAATCTTCAAGAAGTCTTCTCCAGGTCGTCTAGTCTTCAAAAAAAAACTCACTCAGGTTTCCAATAATCATCTTCAGTGAATCCTTCACTTGGAAGGTATTCTTCCAAACGTCCTCCTTCAAAAAAGCCGTAGAGTTTTGGACCAAGTCCTCGTTCTGAATATTTTTGATGTTTCCTGTTTAAAAGTAGTCTAACCAGAAAGAATGGCAAATAAAACAGTGTCCGTGAAAACTTGACTTCGTTCTTGCCGGTGAATTCTTAGAAGATATGGTGTGGCAGAAGTAGATGACGTCACATGATACAAATAGTTTGATTGTCCACTTCTTGAAATGAAAACTTTTTCTGAAAACTGTTTATAACCCACAGTAACCGAGGAACATGGACTTGATCTAAAGTGACATTCTTCCATTCTCCACCCAAAAATGATTCTCCTAACTCAATTAACTTTTTCTTAATTACATCAGAATTGATTGCATTCTGTTTGAACAGTCTCTGGAATATAAAAACGCATTTTTACAGATTTGAACTTGGCTAGACCTCAATTTCAGACATTATTTAGCGAATCCAAATAAACATGTATTGCAAGAAAGAAAAATCGAATGTCGACAAGAAAGAAATCACATAGTTTACATTGAAGCGAACAAATAAACAAACATTTGATCACTAAAGGTTTTCAAATGATATTTGATAAGAAAGTAGTCACTTATTTATCTCTGAATTCCTCATAGATTTTTTGAGACCTTGGCTTCAAATGAAAATATACTGCCAATCTATCCCTTGCTCGCATATTGATATCAGCTCCAGGAATATAATTGATTAATCCGATTTTCATCAAGAAACAAGCCCAGAAGAGATGAGTAATTGGAGTGAAAAAGTTGCATTCTTTCATCAATTTTGAAATTTCATCTGATCGATTCGGTGGCTCCAGATTTTTCAGCTAAACATTTATTTTTAAATACTTAAACAAACAGGCTAAACCTTATAATCTGCATCAACATATGCTTCACAGATTCCATAAAGATTCGGTGAATGTTCGGTCATTTCCTGATTTATTTGAGCTTTAGTCGATGTGAGACCTCTGGCAATCGAAGTTTCAGACAAAAACATTTCCAGATCGAATCCTCTGCAATTGTAAGAAGCGAATTCCCAATCGATGAAAACGAGTTCTTTATTGGAATTCAGCTCCAAAATATTGGCACACTAAACGGAAACTTTTATATACATAACTAAAACGAAATTTCAAACCTACAGCCAAGTCGTTGTGACAGAAAACTACAGTATCCTCAAAAATCTCATTTGTCCAAGATTCCATTAGATTGATTTCTTTTTGTAAGTTCTCAAGGGAAATTGAATCTGGGTGATCAGTCCAAGTGACATGAGTGGGGAATAAATTAAAATCGCCACCTCCAAGGTTTCTGTAAAGTTAGGATTCCTATGAAAAAGATAGTATTAAAAACAAACTGATATTGCTGTAAAACATCTCTCATAACTTGAAAACAACGACGATTTTTGGAGAGTGGAACGTTCATGGAATGGTATTTGGGAAACGATTCTCCGATTTTTCGAGATATTCTGGAAGATTTTTGGAGGTTTTATTTCAGATTTAGAAGCTTTCACTCTGGCTTCAAAACTAATACAGCATCTAATGTTCTACTGGGTAGGTATTCTTCTAATCGCCCTCCATTAAAGAATCCATATAGTTTCGGACCGATTCCTCGTTCTGCGTATAAATTGAATTGAATATGCAATTTGGATGTGATTTTTGTATTTTTTTTACGAATACTAATACTGTAAAACCTGTAATAGAAATGCCCTACACATTGTCAAGTTTCAGCTAACTTTTCTCGGCTCCTATAATATTAAATGTGTGTCAACTGACAAAACACTTCCGGTATGATAAACAATTTATCTGTTGATAATGTTTATATCTTTGACAGGAACCGAGATGAATTGGCCCAAAGTTCAAAATTATGTGGCCCTTCTATTATAGGTTTTACGATATTTACATTTTGGATTACCTGAAAATATGCTAAAAAGGATTGTATCCGTGAACACATGTGCATCTTCTTGACGATGAATTCTTAGCAAGTATTCCTTTGCTGAATTAGAAGACGTTACGTAGAAAATGTGGTTTGATTGGCCACCACTAAAAATTCTGACTTTTCGTAGAACACAATATAGCAAAGACTTACAGAATCTTTTTAACGTTCACTTGACTTTTATCGGTATTCTTCCATTCTCTACCTAAAAAATCAACACCAAGATTGATCACTTTTTGTAGAATCGCTTCAGAACTTGGATCATTTTCTGTGAAGAACTTCTGTAATTCTAATCTAGGGTTTCCATTTGGGGGGCGATTCACCCGCCCGCACCCACCCAGGGGGCTCACCCCCCGCGGCTCCCCGTTGACCCCCCGCGAATATTTACGTGAGGAAAATATTATCTTTTTTGTAGTTTTTTTGATTTGAGAAACTCAGTTTTTCTTGGAAAATACGTGATTATCCTTTAAAATTTTATTAAAATTCACACGCATTTAATTGCGGGGGGTGGGAGCCCCCTGGGTGGGTAGCGGGTAGCCCGCTTCTTCACCCGCCCAAATGGAAACCTTATTCTAATCATTAACAATCTTTTGGATTTCAATATTTACCTCAATTTCTCTCATTTTCAAACAGTAGCGAATATGTGGTAGAACTGGGAAAAAAACTATTATGTGTGAAACAGAAACCGAAATATGTAAACGAAGCCATCGCAGTTTGTTCTCTAGGCTGCGAAATTTACATTTTTATTGTATGCACACCATAAAACAGGTCAATAAATGGTTTATTTTGATCTCAAACAAAATACATTTTGTCAAATACTGAACATTATTTGCTCCCGGAACTTTAAGAAAACCAAAAATTCTAAAAATCAGCGGATATGAATTATCACACGCAAAAAAAAATTTGTTTCGAGAAGTTCAATGATTTTTTTGTTTTCGTAATTTTTCCCAAATCTGCTGGGTCCTTCCTTTCAAATGATAATAAATTGCAAATCGGTCCTTCGCTTGAACATCCATATCAACTCCACAATTGTACTTGACAAGTGCCAATTTCATAACAAAACAAGCCCAGAAAAGATGAGTGATTGGCCAAAAGAATTCGACTTCTTGAATTAGTTTTGATATTTCACCAGAGCGATCCGATGGAATTCGATTTTTTAGCTGAAAAAATGTATTCGGATTTTTTGTATCTTTAATTTGTCTTACTTCATTATCAGCATTAATGTATGCTTCAACAAAGCCATGCAAGTTTGGCGGATTGTCAGTCAATTCTTCACTGAATTTGATTCCCGGTGGGGTTGGATCACGAAAATCAACAGCAGTTTCAGACAAATGCATCGCAATATCGAATCCTCTGCAGTTGTAAGAAGCGAATTCCCAATCGATAAATACCAGTTCTCTTTTGGAATTCAGCTCCAGAATATTTGCACACTGAAATCAGATTCTTCAATTGGAAAACTATATTTCAAACCTACAGCCAAGTCATTGTGACAGAAAACTACAGTGTCCTCAAACAATTCATTTGCCCAGTTTTCCATCAAATCAATTTCTTTATGAAGATCTTCAATGCTAACTTTGCCGGGATGTTCAGAATATGTGACTGTAGTTGGTATGATTTCGTATTCCTCCG